GAGGCGCTCAGATACAACAGTTTAGAAGTCCCTCCAAACTGTCAATATCCCAAACCCCTCCTTTAAAGTGCAGGCATTGTAGTTCCCATTTCCAGGACTCAAGTCCGGCTAACCAGTTTCCCTAAATCCCTTCACTAAATACTACCCTGCTCACACTCCAACAGCTCATCAGGTCCCAAAAACCATTCACTCCTATCTAACACACTCACATGCACTTGCTGGAAGTCAAAGCCCCTCGCCCACAAAACCTCTTTAACCCCTCCCTCCAACCTTTTCGAGGATGACCCCTAACCCTCCTTCCTTTCCCTACAGATTTATATGCTCTCCAAGTCATTCAACTTCGATCCATTCTCTCTAAATGACCAAACCACCTCAACAACCCCTCTTCAGCTTTCTGACTAATACTTTTAGTAACTCCACACCTCCTCCTAATTTCCACACTCCAAATTCTCTGCATAATATTTACACCACACATTGCCCTTAGACAGGACATCTCCACTGTCTCCAGCCACCTCCTCGCTGCAGCATTTACAACCCAAGCTTCACAACCATGTAAGAGTGTTGGTATCACTATACATGTACTTTTATACATTTCCTTCTTTGCCTCCATAGATAACGTTTGTCTCCATGGATACCTCAACGCACCACTAACCTTTTTTCCTTCATCAATTCTATGGTTAACCTTTTTTTTTTTTTTTCGACAAGTCGGCCGTCTCCCACCAAGGCAGAGTGACCCAAAAAGAAAGAAAATCCCCAAAAAGAAAATACTTTCATCATCATTCAACACTTTCACCTCACTCACACAATCACTGTTTTTGCAGAGATGCCCAGAATACAACAGTTTAGAAGTATATGCGTATAAAAATACACAATATATCTCTCCAAACTGCCAATATCCCAAACGCCTCCTTTAGAGTGCAGGCATTGTACTTCCCATTTCCAGGACTCAAGTCCGGTTATATAAAATAACCGGTGTCCCTGAATCCCTTCACTAAATATTACCCTGCTCACACTCCAACAGCTCATCAGGTCCCAAATACCATTCGTCTCCATTCACTCCTATCTAACGCGCTCACGCATGCTTGCTGGAAGTCCAAATCACTCACCCACAACACCTCCTTTACCCCCTCCCTCCAACCTTTTCGAGGACGACCCCTACCCCGCCTTCCTTCCCCTACAAATTTATACACTCTCCATGTCATTCTACTTTGATCCATTCTCTCTAAATGACCAAACCACCTCAACAAACCCTCTTCAGCCCTCTGACTAATACTTTTATTAACTCCACACCTTCTCCTAATTTCCACACTCCGAATTTTCTGCACAATATTTACACCACAAATTGCCCTTAGACAGGACATCTCCACTGCCTCCAAGTGCCTCCTTGCTGCAGCATTTACAACCCAAGCTTCACACCCATGTAAGAGTGTTGGTACTACTATACTTTCATACATTCCCTTCTTTGCCTCCATAGATAACATTTTTTGCCTTCAAATATACCTCAATGCACCACTCACCTTTTTCCCTTCATCAATTCTATGATTAACCTCATCCTTCATAAATCCATCCGCTGACACGTCAACTCCCAAGTATCTGAAAACATTCACTTCTTCCATACTCCTCCTCCCCAATTTGATATCCAATTTTTCTTTATCTAAATCATTTGATACCCTCATCACCTTACTCTTTTCTATGTTCACTTCCAACTTTCTACCTTTACACACACTCCCAAATTTGTCCACTAACCTTGGCAATTTTTCTTTAGAATCTCCCATAAGCACAGTATCATCAGCAAAAAGTAACTGCATCACTTCCCATTTTGTATTTAATTCCCCATAATTTAATCCAACCCCTCTCCCGAACACCCTAGCATTTACTTCTTTTACAACCCCATCTATAAATATATTAAACAATCAAGGTGACATTACACATCCCTATCTAAGACCTACTTTTACCAGGAAGTAGTCTTCCTCTCTTCTACACACCCTAACCTGAGCCTCACTATCCTCATAAAAACTCTTTACAGCATTAAGTAACTTACCACCTATTCCATATACATACTTGCAACATCTGCCACATTGCTCTCCTATCCACTCTATCATATGCCTTTTCTAAATCCATAAATGCAATAAAAACTTCCCTACCTTTATCTAAATACTGTTCACATATATGCTTCAATGTAAACACTTGATCTACACATCCCCTACCCACTCTAAAACCTCCTTGCTCATCCGCAATTCTACATTCTCTCACCTCTAATTCTTTCAATAATAACCCTACCGTACACTTTTCCTGGTATACTCAGTAAACATATTCCTCTATAATTTTTACAATCTCTTTTGTCCCCCTTCCTTTTATATAAAGGGACTGTACACACTCTCCGCCAATCCGTAGGTACCTTCCCCTCTTTCATACATTTATTAAACAAAAATACCAACCACTCCAACACTATGTACCCCCTTGCTTTCAACATTTCTGTCATGATTCCGTCAATTCCAGCTGCTTTACCCCTTTTCATTCTACGTAACGCCTCACGCACCTCCCCCACACTTACATCCTGCTCTTCTTCACTCCTAAAAGATGGTATACCTCCCTGGTCAGTGCATGAAATTACCGCCTCCCTTTCTTCGTCGACATTTAAAAGTTCCTCAAAATATTCTCGCCATCTACCCAATACCTCCATCTCCCCGTCTATTAATTCCCCTACTCTGTTTTTAACTGACAAATCGATTTGTTCTCTAGGCTTTCTTAACTTGTTTAACTCACTCCAATTTTTTTTTCTTATTTTCATTAGAATTTCTTGACAGTACCTCTCCCACTTTATCATCCGTTCTCCTTTTGCACTCTCTCATCACTCTCTCCACCTTTCTTTTACTCTCCATATACTCTACTCTTCTTATAACACTTCTGCTTTGTAAATACCTCTCATAAGCTACCTTTTTCTCTTTAATCACACCCTTTACTTCTTCATTCCACCAATCACTTCTCTTTCCTCCTGCCCCCACCCTCCTATAACCACAAACTTCTGTCCCACATTCTAATACTGCATTTTTAAAACTATTCCAACCCTCTTCAAATCCCCCACTACTCATACTTGCACCAGCCCACCTTTCTGTCAATAGTTGCTTATATTTCACCCTAACTTCCTCCTCCCTTAGTTTATACACTTTCACCTCCCTCTTACTTCTTGTTGCCATTTTCCTCTTATCCCATCTACCTCTTACTCTAGCTGTAGCTACAACTAGATAATGATCCGATATATCAGTTGCCCCTCTATAAATGTGCACATCCTGGAGCCTACCCATCAACCATTTATCCACCAATACATAATCTAACAAACTACTTTCATTATGTGCTACATCATACCTTGTATATTTATTTATCCTCTTTTTCATAAAATATGTATTACTTATTACCAAACCTTTCTACACACAGCTCAATTAAAGGTTCCCCATTTTTATTTACCCCTGGCACCCCAAATTTACCTACTACTCCCTCCACTTTAGTATTAAAATCCCCAACCACAAGTACTCTCATACTTGGTTCAAAACTCCCCATGCATTCACTCAACATTTCCCAAAATCTCTCTCTCTCCTCTATACTTCTCTCTTCCCCAGGTGCATATATGCTTTATATAACCCACTTCTCACATACAACCTTTATTTTACTCTACATAATCCTTGAATTAATACATTTATAACCCCTCTTTTCCTGCCATAGCTTATCCTTCAACATTATTGCTACTCCTTCTTTAGCTCTAACTCTATTTGAAACCCCTGACCTAATCCCATTTATTCCTCTCTAATGAAACTCACCCACCCCCTTCAGCTTTGTTTCACTCAAAGCCAGGACATCCAGCTTCTTCTCATTCATAATATCCACAATCATCTCTTTCTTATCATCCGCACAACATCCACGCACATTCAGACTTATCCTTCTTAAAACCATCCACTGACAAGTCAACTCCCAAATATCTGAAAACATTCATTTCTTCCATACTCCCTCTCTCCAATGTGATATCTATAGTTCTTGACTAATCCCTATCCTGCAAATATGAGCTCTCCACACATGCATAAAAAATATACATTAATATATGAATGCATTCAGTGAAATAACCGATAGAAATAATTTTCTAAAAATATTTTCTGTTTGGAGATTTCAGGTATGTCTTGCTACTTCTACTTACACTTGGGTTACACTACACATACATGTACAAGCATATATATACAAACATACCCCTCTGGGTTTTCTTCTATTTTTTTTCTAGTTCTTGTTCATTTCCTCTTATCTCCTTGGGGAACTGGAACAGAATTCTTCCTCCGTAAGCCACGCGTGTCGTAATAGGCGACTAAAATGCTGGAAGCAAGGGGCTAGTAACCTCTTCTCCTATATATATTACTAAATGTAAAAGGAGAAACTTTCGTTTTTCCTTTTGGGCCACCCCACCTCTGTGGGATACGGCCAGTGTGTTGAAAGTAAAGGAAAGGATTTTCTGTTAGGATGCATCTGCAATGTTTGTATCTGCAGATTGACATTAATAAGAAACTAGTTATTTGTAGTTCTAAAGTGCCCCAACTGTAACTGCACATGTTCGAAATGCAAGGACCTATTCAAAATAACTTCAACGGAGTGAATTAAGGGTGGGGATATTGCAGTTCAGAGAGTCATTTGAATAGTGATGTTTGTGCGCTTCTGGCAAGACAGCTATTGAACAAATGAGGTGAATGTATTTTTTTTTTTTTAGCAATCTTCTGATAGGAGATAGCATGTTAAAAATAGAAAAAATATAGCATAAACTATAAAATACAACATAAGTCATGAATAACAATGATACTTAGATACAGCTGCTTGTATATGGATAAGGTTCTAAATTATCCTACTCCAATACAAGTAGAGGTATGGTATAATAGTAATAACAATAATAATAATAATAATACTCAATTTCACCACCTTGATACCTGTCACAACGTATTTACCAGAAAATGACTGTCAAGACTTACCAGCCTGAGGTAGACGAAGAAACAGGAATACTGGCCAGCCTCTGGTAAGTAGGACAGAAAGACCGATACACTGATTAACAGCACATTGCGGTCCTTGCCCACTTTCCACAAAGCCTGCGATAAATAATAATATATAAACTGGGTTTGCTGGTTTTACTTCATTTACAAAGCATTAGAACCATTAAGTTATTCAGCATTAAATATATTCTAACATTATCAAATTCACACTATCATTATCAATATGCTGCTGCCATGACCAATTCGCTGTATTACACAAATCATAATCACAAAGAAAGGAAACTATTTTAAGCATTTTGCACATTTTTACAATCCATATTCAAAATTTAATTAATCAATTAGCAGTGAGGATTGAGCTTCCACCACTTCTTTTGGTGAATGGCCAACACAGGTTTAGTGTTTAACAATTTGCTATCAGTATCAATTTGCAGGTACTGTGACTAATTTACTGTTATACTACATGTAGTAGGTTGGTAGACAGCAACCACTCAGTACATACTAGAGATCGAGTTCATACTACACATGTAGCTGTGCATGTATATGTGTATACACACTCATCTGAATTTTTCTAGATTCTTAATAGTCTTGTTCTTTTAGTGTCTCCTTTCATCTCTGTGAGGAAGTGGATGAGAATTCATTCTCCATAAGCCATTCATGTTGTAAAAGGTTACTAACAAGCCACAATCAAGGGGTTAGTAACCCCTTCTCCTGTATAAATTACTATTAGGACAGAGGAAAAAAATAAAGGGTACATTGTTTGAATGTGCATTGGTGCAATACGGATGTATAGAAAGAATTAATTGTGAATGTTATGAATGATAAGCTGGATGTCTTAGCTTTAAGCAAAATGAAACTAGAGGAGACAGGAGAATTTCAGTGGGGAAGTGTAAATGGGAGAAGAACAGGTGTATCTGAAACTAAGGAGTAGTTGTAATATTTAATGGTCAATTATTGAAAGAAAAGAGGGAATATAAGTGTATGAATTCAAGAGTTATGCAGGTGGGATATGAAAAGTGCACCTGGGAAGGAGGAGAGGGGAGGGAGGAGAGAGAGAAAGAGAGGAGTGGGGGAGGATGTACCACTTATAAAACTGACTGGGGACCCACAATCTCAGAGAAGAGAATAAACATACTTCATAGAAAATTCAGGTGGTTTCTACCTATTGCTGTTTCAATATTTTCTTTACTACCCCTATATACTGGGTTTGTGAATTTAATTTGAAAAAAAAAAAAATATAGAATAAAAAAGTTACATTTCGAAGAACAACATACATAACTGCTCAAGTACTGGGAGCTCTGATGTAGAATGCACAAATTCAAATCCTGTTTTATATTGAGATACAATGTTCGTAAATAATTTTGCTTGTTTGTGAATTAAGTATAAACATACATCTTTCTTTCTTTCAACAAACTGGCCATATCCCACTGAAGCAGGGTGGCCCAAAAAGAAAAACGGAAGTTTCTTTTTTTTTAACTTTAGTAATATATACAGGAGAAGGGGTTACTAGCCTCTTGCTCCTGGCATTTTAGTTGCCTCTTGCGACACACATGGCTTACGGAGGAAGAATTCTGTTCCACTTCCCCATGGAGATAAGAGGAAATAAACAAGGACAAGAACTATTAAGAAAAATAGAAGAAAACCCAGAGGGGTGTTATATACGATTGTTCATGCATGTGCAGTGTGACCTAAGCATAAGTAGAAGAAGCATGACATACCTGAAAACTTGCATGTTTATGAGACAGAAAAAAGACACAAGTAATCCTTCCATCATGTAAAACAATTACAGGCTTCTGTTTCACACTCACTTGGCAGGATGGTGGTACCTCCCTGGGCATTTGCTGTCTACCAACCTACTACCTAGGGTAAACGTATATACAGTCCTCATCACGGCATTATGCTGCCCCTCCCCCACACACGTACCAAACATTATAATATATATATATTATAATATATATATATTTGCACATTTACTGAGGTTTTAATACTTGGTGCTGCATCCTTTACGCTTAATCACGTCCCTCAGCCATGTAGGAAGACTTTCACACAAATTCTTGAGGGTTTGGGGAGGTATATTATTCAATGCCTCATGTAGAGAAGCCTCCAGCAGCAGGATGGAACTGATATCCTTGCCCAGTAAACTTTGTTTTGCTATTAACCAGAGGTTCTCAATAGGGTTTAGGTCTGGGGAATTGCCTGGCCAGTCATTAAAGAACCTCACTTTGCAGTCCTTAAGCCACTGAACTAAGATTTGGCAGTATGACACGGTGCATAAAAACTGTAGCCCCACACTTGCCAAATGCCTCAGGTAAATTGTCATACAATAACTCCAGGTAATTATACTGGTTCATATACTGGTTTTTGGGAAGCACAATTAGTTCATCAACACTCTGAGCACTGAAACACCCCCAAACCATGAGCGAGTCTGGGTGTTTGGTGGTTCCACAGGTGTAGCGTGGGTCTAGCGGGTCACTTCCTCTGGGATGGTACATGTCCCCCACAGTTACAGGTGACAGTGAAGGTTCTTCATCACTCTGAAGTACTTCAGACCACTGTTGAGGATTCCAGTGAAGATATTTGCATAATCCAGCCTACATTTCTTCTGTTGCTTGGAGAGGATCTGTCTCTTAACCTGGCAGTGACTACTGTAGCCCACTTCTGACACACGTCTGCTAACAGTTCTTACAGACACCTCTGAGAGAAGATGTGGGTTATTTTCTTTCAGTTCTCTAGCAGTTATCTTAGGTGTACTTTCTAACTGCTTCTTTAACACAGTTAAGGTACGAACAGATGTCTTCTTTGAGGGGCTAGGCGGAGGTTTGGCAGACAGTTTCTCGACACCACCACCAGCCTTGAAACACTGTACCCAGTTCCTCCCTGAATGCTCACACACACCAACATTGTCCACTATTTCTTTCGTCTGTTGCCCAGCTTTGTGAAACCCTATGATTTGAGCTATAGTTTCAGGTGTTAAAGACTTCCTTTTACCCATAATCAAACATGCAAGTCCCCAAAATGAAAGGGAACACTGGACAAAAGATGGGGTGGGTGAGAGACAAAAATACAACACTTTCACCACGGCAGCCACATGAGTACTGAGGAGCCACTGTGGAGTGTGGCGGCAGGCTGTGATGTCATGCTAATGGCTGTTACCCAGCATAATACACTGACGAAAAAAGACCCCCCTGTATGGTAGGCCTTTGATTTTTGTCACGGCATTATGCAGGGGTGCTCACCTGGCATAATGCCGTGACGAGCACTGTACATACATATAATAATTGAGAAAGAAAAAAAATAATATTAGAAAAAGTCAGATGGCCTTATTTACCGAGAAAGGGTCAGCTTGTTCCCAGGAGATGTGGGCACTCCACGAAGATGATAATCTAAGCTTTTCTGGTAAAGACTCAGGTACTGCCACAAGAATGAAGAAAACATCCAATATTGCTATCGCTGTTGCTAAACCAACCACAAGGTCATCGCTGTGCACCTGTGGACAAATGTGAAGTGATTACGGTTGCAAAGCTATTTTACTTTTCATCACAGTAGTGACCATGCATTAAAATGTTAATCTATGAAAATGATGTTCAGTGTTTTTACATATATCAGTATTACAGGATTACTCTTTTCTTCATTAATTATTCATGCTATCACTAGTACAGCACAACCTCAATATCTTATAAACCATATGCTTCCCATGTGTTTGTACTGTACCTTGGCAGTTATAAAACATTTTCTTGTTTCTAAGTGCCTCATTTGTATGTGTGGACGTGTAACTTGAGGTATTTCAGTTGAGGACCTCCTGTATATATATTAATTTACCATACAGAGCTAATATTTCCACACTTTCAATACTATGTATTTAATTTCTAAACTGGTATCACAATGTGCATTAACCAAATTCAAGATTATTATACCATCTCATTTTCATTATTTCCTAGAGCTAATTTTTCTCTAATACATTTTAGAAGGTTGCATTTACATAATGTATATAACATAAAAAAAAAAAACAACAGAATGGGTGGGGTTTGAACACATGGCAAGTGAGTCCTAAGTCCAGGCCAGTGCATCAGCCACTCATCTGGAGTTTTAAGACTCATTCATCATAGGTTCAAACTCCACCTGTTCCATGGTTTGTTTGCAAATGTATTATTGCATTTTCATGAGTAATGATAGTGACCTTGAGGGGACTTGAGCTAGAGTTCACCACAGGGAGGTTAGCCCATGCTAGCCTCCCTATGGTGCATAGAAATATACAGTGGACCCTTGGATATCGGCCATTCCGGATATCAGCCAATTCAGATTTTGGTCGCTTTTTTTGGCTGAAATTCTATCCTGGATTTTGGCCGGCAACTCAGAAATCAGATGTATTGGACACATCTGCCCACCCGCCATGCCGCGTTCGTGAGTCAGTCTGGCTATGTCTCTGGGTGAGTGAGCAAGGCTTCATGCATTCATCCAAACATTTCGTTATAATCCATTGTTTTGTGGTTGTTTATTGAGTGCAACTGCAAAATAAGCCACCATGAGTCCAAAGAAAGTTCCTAGTACCAGCCCTTTGGTAAAGAAAGTGAGAAACATGATAGAATTCAAGAAAAAAATTGTAGCAAAGTATAAGAGTGGTGTACGTGTCCTGGAGCTTGCCAGGATGTATGGGAAATCCAAATCAACAATCACTTCTATCCTGGCAAAAAAAAAGTAGAAATCAAGGAAGCTTATGTTGCAAAAGGGGTAAATACACTAATGAAACAAAGATCACCAATAATCGAAGATGTGGGGAAGCTATTGTTGGTGTGGATCAACGATAAACAATTAGCGAGAGATGGTGGTGTGGAGTCGATCATTTGTGAAAAGGCAAGGCAGCTGCATGAAGATCTCGTAAAGAAAATGCCTGGAACATGTGCTGCTGTTAGTGAATTTAAGGCCAGCAAAGGCTGGTTTGAGAAATTTAAGAAGTGCAGTGGCATACACAGTGTTGTAAGGCATGGCAAGGCTGCAAGTTCAGACAAACATGCAGCTGAAGAATTCGTGCATGAATTCAAGGAGCATGTAGAAGCTGAAGAATTCCTCCTCTAACAAGTTTCACTTGTGACAAAGAACAACAGGCCTTTTTTAGAAGAAAATGCCAAAGAGGACCTACATCATGCAGGAGAAAAAGGCACTGCCAGGGCCCAAGCCTATGAAGGATAGGCTTACTCTTTTGTTCTGTGGTAATGCTAGTGGGGATTTCAAAGCGAAGCCTTTACTGGTGTATCACTGAAAATCCCAGAGTGTTCAAGAAAAACAATGTTGTCAAGAGTATATTGTGTGTGATATGGAAAGCTAATAATAAGGCATGGGTCACAAGGCAAATTTTCATTGACTTGGTCCATGAAGTGTTTGAGCCAAGTGTGAAAAAATACCTCCAGGAAAATAAATTGCTACTCAAGTGCCTCCTGGTAATGGACAGTGCTCCTGCTCATCCTTGAAACTTGGTAGACCAATTGTCTGTGGAGTTAAGTTTTATAACAGTGAAGTTCTTGCCTTCTAACACCACTCCTCTCATCCAGCCCATGGACCAGCAGGTCATTTCTAACTTCAAAAAACTCTACATGAAAGCAATGTTTCAAAGGTGCTTTGAAGTGACCTCAGAGACTGACTTGACCCTAAGAGAGTTCTGGAGGGATCACTTCAATATCCTCCATTGCATAAACCTTATAGGTAAGGCTTGGCAGGGAGTGATTTCCAGGAATTTGAACTCTGCTTGGAGAAAATTGTGGCCAGAATGTGTACAAGAGAAGGATTTTGAAGGGTTTGAGGCTGACCCTGATCTTGACCCTGTTGACCCTCTGCCTGTTGTGGAATGTATTGTGGCTTTGGAGAAGTCCATGGGTTTGGATGTGAGTGGCCAGGATGTGGAAGAGTTGGTGGACAACCACAGAGAAGAGGTAACCACTGAAGAGCTTCAAGTCCTTCATCTGCAACAGCAACAGACCACAGATGAGGAAACTGCTTCAAAGGAAAAAGAGGGAGGGGAGAATGTGCCTTTTCAGTGATTAAGGACATCTGTGCATAGTGGAGGGAGGTGCAAAGTTTTGTGGAGAAATATCACCCTGACCAAGCTCAAACAAGCCATACCTGCAACATGTTCAGTGACAAAACCTTGTCCCACTTCAGGCAAATCTTAGAGATGCCAGAAAAGGAGCTGTCTGGACAGTTTTTTTTGTGCAACAGGGGTACAGTGACTCTCAAGCTGGTCCTAGTGGCAGTAAAAGACAAAGAAGGGAAGTAACCCCAGAGAGGGCTTTGATACATGAAGTCCTTATGGAGGGGGATTCCCGTTCCTAACAATAACCTTAACTCCCTCTCTCCTCCTTGCCTTCTTCCATATGCAAACAAGAGTCTTCAATAAAGGTATGTAATGTTCATTTATTAGTAAAATTAATGCTTTATATTTCTTTGCCATTGTTTTGTGTATGTAAAACTATGGTTAATCTTTAAAAAATGTATTTTTTAATATTTCTGGGTGTCAAGAACGGATTAATTGTATTTACATTAATTCTTATGGGAAATATTATTTCGGTTTTCGGTCTTTTCGATTTAGGCCGATCTTCTGGAAAGGATTACAGCCAATAACCGAGGGTCCACTGTACCTAGATGGATGAATCTTATTGTAGCCAGCTGGCCAAGTGGCTTATGCACTGGCTTGGAGTTTTAGGACTCACTTGCCATGGATTCAAGCTCCACCTGTTCTGTAGTTTGTTTGCAGTTGTGTCATTACAATTTCCTAAGTCATTTTTAATTAGTCTCACTGAAGACAATGAATACATTCCACCTTTTAACCACGTTCTGACTAATTAATCGTATATTTTCTGATGTCTGTGTAACTTATTTACATCTTTACCTGCCATGCATGCCCACTTTGTGCCCTGGTCCCCTATTTTAGCCCCTAAACGGTCCAAACGTATATATACGTTCTCTCGCCAAGTGCCCCGAATATTTTGAAAAATAAAAAAAATAGTTTTTTTTTTCATTGAAATAAAGAGAAAATTTTTCTGAGTGTTATAGGATTAAAATAAAAAAATTAGGGTCAGTACTTACTGAGATATGAGGCTGCAAAGTAGGCACTTAATGCTCACATGACAGCAACATCGAGTCCTGCCGCTTGCAGAAGTGTTGCCAATACAGTGGACCCCCGGTTAACGAACTTTTTTCATTCCAGTAGTATGTTCAGGTGCCAGTACTGACCGAATTTTTTCCCATAAAGAATATTGTGAAGTAGATTAGTCCATTTCAGACCCCCAAACATACACGTACAAACGCACTTACATAAATACACTTACATAATTGGTCGCATTTGGAGGTGATCGTTAAGCGGGGGTCCACTGTATATCTTTTTTTCTCATTATTATATTATTTTATATAATTGTTATGTTCTGATAATTACAATTTATTGTAGTTCTTGTCATTTCATAATCAATCTTTGTTCTGACACTAATATTAGCTACTGAAATTGTACCCAAATTGTCACAAACACATTGACAGGTGGACATTTACACCTGCCTTGGTCATTTACTATTGTCTAGGAATATATACAAAGTATTTATAGGTCCCAGCAATGTTTTGGATACACAGGAGTATAGAAGAAGAAAAGAAGAAGCAGGAAGAAGAAAGAAGAAAGAAGAAGAAGTTCCCTTGAAGCAATGTGTAAAACAAGTGTCAATGACAAGCATCTGGGAGGGCAGTGATGAGATAACGGATGACATTTGATGGGCGCCAGCGAGGGTGCAGAGATAAGATAAGGGGTGACATTTGATGAGCTCCTATCTCCGTCTCTGATTATCTGTCTCTCTGTCTGCTTGTCTCTTTCTGTCTCTCTGCTTGTCTCTCTCTCTCTGTCTCTGAGAAAGCCACTGTGAACCAACAGGTATTCTTATGCATTATATCTACAAGCACAGTATAGCACTTCGAATTTTTAGGTTATCCTAGGTAATTTACACTATGTATAATTGTATTTGTGTGTACCTTTGAGACAGATAAAAATAGACAGAGACAGATAAAAATAGATAGAGACAGATAAACAGACCCTAAACTATGGGTTAACATCACTTTCCTCTTAAAAGGGGAGAGTTAATATGACATTACATCAGTGAATCCTTGGTGTTTGCTGCACTGTTTGCTCTAGCCGGCGCTCAATTTAACCTTTAAACTGTCCATATGTAGATCTACACTTTTTCAACATTTGAATGTAAACAAACGTAGAGCTTTTTTTTTTTTTACATTTGAAAACATGTAAAAAAAACTTTGATCTAATTTTTTTTTTTTTTGCTATATTTGAAAATATGTAAAAAAACATAGATCTACTTTTGGAGCACTACACATGTGAATGTAGATCTGTTTGGACAGTTTAACCCTTTCAGGATCCAGAGGCCAAATTTCAAAGGGTGCACCAGTGTCCAAGAATTTTCAAAAAAAAATTTTGTTATTTTTTTTCTTATAAAATGGTAGAGAATCTTTTTCTGAAGGTAATAAAACAAAAAGTACCAAATTTGATGGAAATTTGACGAAATTATGCTCTCGCGAATTTTGATGTGTCGGATATTTACGAATCGGCTATTTTGCCAACTTTGACTCCCATTTTAAGCCAATTACATTATTCCAGCCGACCAAATTCTTAGCTATTTCACTAGTATTACTTCTATTCTATCGATTGAGCACAAGAAATCGCCCAGTCAACTGTTTCAACTACAAAATAAAGTGATCGGAAATTGGTAATTTGGCCAATTTAACACAAAGTTCAAAATATTCCAATTTCAAAATAGGGTCCAGAATAAACAATGCAGACATTCCTGGCACTAAACTAACATTTCCTCTGCTCATTAGCTATGCTTTCAAGCTTTACAAATGAATTCCATTTTTATTTTTTATTCACATAATGAATTTTTATTCAAACCAAAAAATAGAAGATTTACTGTTATGCAATATTGTATAAATATCATCATCACATTTGTGAATGTATATTAGACCCACCAGCTGGCGTGTATTAGACGTGTGATGTCGTTTGTTTACTCTTGAACATCGACAAAAATTTAACATTTCCGCTACTTTTAGCTCAGTTTCAAGCTATTTCTAGAACTAAAACCAATCAAAATCATCTCTACTTCTGTAATATATCTTCCATTCTATTAAATGAGACCAAGAAATCGCAAATACAACTATAAAAAACATACGAAAAAACGCTGCAAAGCCGCTGTTTTAATCGAAAATCACGGTCTCAGTTTTTTTTTCTCATTATACACTGTGTGCTGCAGGATTTGTTTTATGTGGTGCACACATACCACATAGATGTATTATCTCATATCTAGGCCCAAATTTACCGCTCACAGCTTATCACAGTGAGCTGAGCTCATGGCATAGATCTACGGTTTGGACCCTGAACGTAAAGCCGTAGATCTACGGCATGGACCCTGAAAGGGTTAAGGGTTAACTGGCACTCTAACAAGGTACTAAGTGGTCCCAGATTTTTTTAATATGGTGCAAACCGAGTGTTAAGACCCATTCTATACTGACCAGGCATCTCAGGCCAATCATGCCAAATTTGGAGGCAAGAAAAATAAAACTTATATATACGTTTGGGGTGCTAGCGGTAAGAACGTATATGTTTGGACCGTTTAGGGGTTAAACAGGCTGTCTTTTTACCCTATTAAGTCTGGTACCAAAGTATTGCATATAGTGTAAACCAGTCCTTTCATGCTGGGTTTATTCTCATTCCTCTATTATTACTACAGTACATAACATGTAAGAAACTGTGTTTAATATTAGATGGATATGGTAAAGTAAAGGGATCTTTTTCAATTTAAATTATTGTTTCATTGGTTTAAAAACGAACATTTACAAAAGACATTAATAAAATAACATACTATCACAAATGTTTCCAGTGAAAATTCTTTTTAGATACTTCAGTATGTACTACTAATTGTAGGTCTCTTGTTGTATAATACAACAATAT